ATTTTGGTACCTTCCCACAACAAGAGGTTGAAGCTTATGAGTTCCAGTAGCATTGCAACATAATAGAACTGATAAACGGAATTTGTCCTAAAAAAGAGAATTGATGCATGTATCAAATCACAGAATAAATTTAACAATTCGGCTTAAATTTACCTTTTTTCGACCTGCCATGCTACTGGTGGTTCCATACGGTAGAATAAACCCGTCTCATCAACGTTATAAATATATTCAGCTAAGACCTCTTGCAACCTCAATCTCTCCTCTGCTATGCCTGTAAGTGACGCACTGTTTGCCTCTCCATGAAGTGTAATTTGGTGAACACCAATCCGTTTTTTAAATTTATATACCCATCCGTTCGAGCATCGAATATCGTCATCTTTAATATTACAACTCTCAGCAAATTCGAGACCCTTCTCTTGAAGAATTTGATCTGACAGAAGCAAATTTATCGCAATAGCTTGGTGTACCCACAGTTCCGTGGCTTTGTTCAATTTACGTTGACGAACTGTGCTAGATCCTGTTTTGTTGAAAGTATATTAAGCCATTTTTCTTTTTTTGATAAAATTATATTTATCATTAAAGTGTTTGGCAATGTCTGCATGCTTTAAAGTAGAATTTGGTTTCGTGTATTCGCAAATTTTCGCGTTTATTGTCAATACTCTTTTGTTTCAGTTGTATTGTAAAGATTAAATGGGATGTGTTTATTATTACTTTAACGCTGTATTAATATATGTGGTTCTTGGACGTGTTTACTCATTATGATGTAATATTATCCAAGACTATTGTACTGTGTAAATTTATGGCTTTATGATACAGGCTGTTTGCCGTAAATGCATTTACTATTATTCGCTACAATATAATGAATTGTTACCATTATGCGTTATAAATTGGTTTAGCCCATGATGTTACATAATAATGTGACTGTGTAGTAGTAAAGGGATTTTATATATAAACGTCATAATGACGGGAATCCAAAATCGGGTGACAGTGACTATCACTATAATGTGACTATAGGAGGAAAATCATTATGAAAAAAACCGGACCGAACAAAATTGTGACTATAAGCCAATGTGACTGTATAGGTGACTGTAGGGGAGGTCGACTGTAATGACATTATTATCAAATGTCAAATTAATATCCATCGTAATGAGTTATCAAGTCTCGAAAAGGAGAGTAAATATTTTAGTAAACTCCTAACTGCTGGAGATTGTCAGGAATTGGTCAAAACGTCAGAATTGCCTAGCAACAAATAGTATAATACCGCGTGCTTATGGTCACGTAAATAAAAATAACAATTGATATAACCGTTGTTACTACCGTGAGAAAATTTTGTCGACATTCATGAATTACCAAGTTTTTTATTTTATCAATCAAAACTTTGCTAATTTCAAATCATCATGGGTTCAAAAGAAACGGATTTG